TATCGTCATTGTCACTATTACTATCGACGTCATCATCATTATCGTGATCATCGTCATCAATATCATTATAATCAAATCGTGCATAGTATAGTTGTTAGGTAACCAGGAATACACTACTGCTTATTGTCCGGTTTGAATACAAAATCTGAGTCTGCAGGAAAGACATATCTTTCTGAAATATCTTAAGAATCTGAGGTATGGATACTAAAGTACATTAGATAGGGCGAACTTTGTCTCGGTTTCCACATTCCTTCCCGTTTCACTTTCAGTTCTGCTTATTTCATTATCTATCTACCTCCTTGAAACTATAATTGTTCCTGGTATAGCTACACCCTGTGGATGTTTTTTGCATACCTCATCGTGAAGTCGTGCACACACACACACACACACACACACACACCACACACACACACACATATATATACATTATACATATATATATATATATATATATATATATATATATATATATATATATATACATATATATATATATATATATATATATATATATATATATATATATATATATATATATATATATATATATATATATATTATATATATATATATATATATATATATATATATATATAATATATATATATATATATATATATATATATATATATATATATATATATATATATATATATATTATATATATATATATATATATATTATATATATATATATATATATATATATATATATATATATATATATTATATATATATATATTATATATATATGTATATATATATATATATATATATATATATATATATATATATATATATATATATATATATTATGTATATATATATATATATATATATATATATATATATATATATATATATATGTATGTAATATGTGTTTATAGAATGTATATATGTCTATATATGTATATATCTATATATCGCTTATTTTTGTTTATTTGTCTATTTTTTGAACGCGACCCCGAATACAAATTCTTTGTTTTTATGCAGTGCCTGATCTTGGGCATCAGTGAGAAGATTGTTTCTACGCTCAGACCTCTGTTTGCCAGCTAAATATTAGATGGATATTTATTCCTGTACTTGCAAACTGATCATGCAGAGATTTGCTGTTATGCTTATCGTTTCTAGATCATTTCTCCTGTACAACTTTTAACGTTCCCAAACTGGGCTTTTAAACGTTCCTTAACTACAATGGGCCAAGTCCTCCGGGCCGAAATATTTTACTATGCTACTTATTATCACGATCATTATTATCGTCTCCGCTACGGTTTGTTTTTGGTGCTGTTGGTTAGTCAGTTTGTTCGTTGGCTAGTTGGTTAGCAAGGATAACTCAAGAAGTTATGAACATTTTTTTTTTGGAACATTTACCGGAGTGTGCTCAACCCACTGTGATATCACTAAATTTTGGTGGCGATTCGATTTAGGATTTTTGTTTGTTCCTTGGTTAGTTGATTTGCAGGATAACTCATAAAGTTATGAACAGATTTTTTTTCATCAGACATGTGTCTTAGTCCAACTTAGATGTCACTGAATTTTGGTGGTGATCCGGATCATGATCCAGATTCAGGAATCTTTGTTCTTCGTGTGCTGGATTGCAGGGTAATTCAAAACGTTATGAACATGTATTTTTTTTTTTTAATATTTACCAAATGTGTGTCTTAGCCAATTATTTAAGTTTTATCAATATATCTATATATCTGCTTTCTGTATCTTCACTGTAATTTTGATACAAAAAATAGTCCCATAAAGTATGAAGCAGACACAGGTTTATCATATAGATTTATTTTCTATACACGAAGTGAATTAAGTAAAAAGATAGTTTACTAAAGATAGATATTTCAGGTATCAATAAATATGAGAAGGTGTGCAATCCAGGGGCATGAAGAGGAAAATACACATACACTACACTACAAGAATACATGAGTAACCTTTTGTTTGTTAAATCAAAACTGCATTTATATACCATTGTATTAAGTATCATTATAGCATGGCTGTGTTGACTATTGTCGTTGTGAGAAAGAGAGAAAGAGAAAATAAAATGCATAGGAGATTATTGTTTTTTTTCCTCTTTGAAATAAACATGGAGAAAGTAATCATAGATAAACACTACATATATATAACAGTTAAATCATACAAGGGGTTAAGGTACATCATGTGCAAGGATAATACAGTACTGTTATCAACTACAGACGTTATAAACGCCAATTTCTGAACACCAGATTTCTTCCAGAGGGTGAAATAACTACATGATTGTTCTAGGAAGACGTATGTAGGCCTATAATTACACATCTATACTACATTACTCATTATCATTATCAATATTTTTTAAAACAACTGTCTTGGGAATTGCAGACTTTGTTATCTTATAAGATAGACAATTTTATTTATTTCCTTTTTTTCTGGTGGATTCTCTCGCATTATCTTTGTGAGAGTCGATATCATTCGGCCTGCACAAACCTCTTCCAACAAGAGGCTTTTATAAGACTAGATTAAAACTAGTTAAAAAAAACTTTTACAAATTCATATGAAATAGGAAGGCGCGACAATAAATCTTTAATTGGTCTAGTTATCTTGAAGAGGCGGACGAAGGAGGAAAGAAGAAACGGAGAGGAGGTGGAAGAGGGAGAAGAGGAGGTGGAGGAGGAAGAGGAGGTGGAGGTATGGGAAGATGAGAGGAAGAAAGACTGCATAAGAAAGATTGGAAAACGGATGGTTGAGGATGTTGAAGAAGAGCAGGAGAAGGAAAAGGAGAAAAGGGAAATGGAGAGGGAGGAAGAGGAAAAGCAGGAATAAAAAGCGGGGGAGGAGGAAGAATCGGAGGCGGTGGTGGCATGTAGAGAGGAAGAAGAAAAGTCGACGAATGATTTATAAAATGAACGGAACACGGCAATCGAAGACTATCACTGAACACACAATCACTCACTCCATTTAAAGAGGTTAAATTGCTTTCAGGTGTCGGAAAAGGATCGTTTTCTCGGTTCGGAATCGGATATTCTACACTACTTTGGTTTCCGGATGGTTTATGTGGATTCAACTCTCGATCATCGCCATTCATACGAATTTTATCCTCAATAGCCGAACAATCGAAGTACCCCCAGAAACAACAACACATATTTTCTTCGTTTTCTATGAATGTTGCATTTTCTCCATTTTCTATGGGTCTCACGTTTTCTCTGGCGTTTTGCTCAATGTTATGATCCTTTCCAATATTTCTATAGTGTAATACTTCCCCTGAAAGCGACAGAAGTGTAACACTAATATTAGTATGATGTTCTTTCTTCGCATATATATAATTTCCAGCATAACCTGTTTCTTGAAAATGGCAACACGAACACCACCTCTTTTGGGGGTGAACTGATATTCCCGCTTCCTTATGCCCGTTTTCTTCACGGACTAAGGAATCCTTACAAGGAGGCGGATCTTTTCCTTGGACGTCATGCATCACTCCGCCATGACTAGAATCAGAGAAAATGGGAAACGGCTGTTGTCCTGGGGTGTCTGCGGCGCACTCACGTCTCTGGGTCGCATTTAGGGTGTCCCCATCAGGAATAAAGGGACGCCCACCAGCAGGAGAGCGAGGAGAGGAGAAGGGGCGACGAGACTGGCGCCGGCGGTGGATCCGCACTCGAGATCCGTCTTCAGGGCTTCCATTATAGACTTTCTCTTGTTGTTACAAGGTGTTTGGCGGAGGCGATGGACCGTGTCTTGGCATCTGAGGTACTCTTCTAACCGGCCGTTGTCCACGCACACCGACTGGCGCCATTTCTTGAGCCAGCCTTCGATCCAGCTGTGTGGAGGAAGCGGAAATTGGATGAGAAAGATGTAATAGGGAATGGGTGAAAAAGATGTAATAGGGAGTGGGTGAGAAAGATGTAATAGGGAATGGGTGAGAAAGATGTAATAGGGAATGGGTGAGAGAGAATGAGAGAGAATGGATGCAATAAGAAGGAATGAGAAAGATGCAATAGAGGGACTGGATGAGTAAGGATACGGAATGGGTGAGAGAGATGCCATAATGGGGACTGGGTGAGTCAATATGGGAATGAGAAAATAAGAAACTGCATGACGTAGATCGGATGAGATGTCGATACAAAAAGAGAAAAACAAAACAAAGAAACAAAATATTAACCAACTGAAACAACGTTTAACAAAATCAGGCGAGTAATAAATATGACCTACTATGTGATGAATAATAATAGATATTTAACATGAGCTGTATAAGAAACGAGAGTATATCTAATTCCGGTTATGATAAAACCGAACTAAGAAACAACAAAACTTAATCTAGAATATCAGAAGGGAAATACCCAGTTTGGGAAATTAATGTTTTTAATTTTGATGAAAGACAAATTTTGATGATGAATGAGCCTCATTATAGCAGTAACTAATCACCACAAGACGGCGCTCTCGAAAAAAAAATCGGTCGATACAAAAAGAGAAAAACAAAACAAAGAAACAAAATATTAACCAACTGAATCACGCGAACCGAAATTGATAAGGATAAAGAAATGATACGATAACAATAAAATGCTTATGGAGATGGCAATGATAATACTATCATTACTACCAGTACTATTAACTTCAACAACGTAATGACAACAACCACAGTAGTACCAATACGACTACTAATACAAATAATAACCACAATTAATCCCCTCACCCACCACAAACGCCCCTCCACACAGAACACAAACAACCCCACGCCCAACGGCAGCCACTCACCCAATCCCGCAGTCGCAATTCCACTGGTTGTTGTGCATGCGGAGGTCGGTCAGGAACACGGAGTTGGGGACGCCGGGGTAGCCTGTGGTGGACGGCTCGCCCAGCTTGGTCATCGTGTTGTTCTCGGCGGCCACGGCCACGTACCTGGCGGGAGGAGGAAGCGCTCAGCTTAGTGTGGTTTTTACACACACACACATTGTCTAGGAGGTGGAGGAACTAATTTTTCGTTGGTTTATTTGATTTGTTTATTTATGCATTATTGTGCTTGTTCAAATT